TTTTGGATGAACCCAATGTTACTTGATCTTTAAAATGCGTATTTAAAAGAATTATTTTAATTATCTATATATAATGTTATAAAATATATTCAATTAACATTCTTTGAATTGATAAGATGGCATACAACGTATACTGTATTACATTTAATTCTAGGTAATAGCATCTTATTATTTATCTGATACATGCACAATATTCAAATTTATTAATATAATTTGCAAACATAATGTAATAAGTTAATTTTTTTTAATAATCTGGAAGATCGCAATGAATATATATAAATTCTAGAAATGTTTTCTTTCTCATATTTAATTTTCAAGTAACCATCTACCAAAATTCTTAAGAATGGCATTTCTTAAAAATTTCATGATTATTTATAGCCAGGATCCTCCTTTGCTCTGCTCATTTTTCTATGATAAGGTAAACAGACTCAAAGTTGTATGTTTAGAGTATTATATCATTAAAGTCGAATAAATAACGAGAGCGAAAGAACTGTCTTTAAGAGACAATCCTGCCTTTAAGAGGCGACCATCGTGGAAATCATCCGACGCGATCAAAGCCGTCGAGGTACGAATGAACACGCCCGATCGGCGAGACGTCAACGTGTGGATGCGGCCCGATGTACAAAATCTCGCATGTCACAGCGGTGAGGAAGTTCAAGAAAAATTCAACACTTTTACTTTTCTCTCCTCCTCCTCCTCCTCCATCACTCTTTTTCTCTTCCATTACCTGCACTGGCTCCTGCACGATCATCGTTCACACTCCGCGAGCGTGATCATAAAAGAACGTCTGGCCCTCCGGGCGCGCCTCGGTGAGAATTTAACGGTGGAATATTTCGGAAGATCCGAAGACTCGGGGACGACCAATGGTGTGTGTATAAAAATTTCTCAGGAGTCCATCTTTACTTCGATTCTTTTGAAGTAAGCGACTGCTCACTCAGGTCGAAGGGCCGCCAACCTCGGCGCTGGAGGGATAGGAGTTTTACTGTTAAATTTCACGGCGATTGGCAATACATTTGTTAAACAGGTTCTATATTAGTTGCAAGTCGATTATAGGTTTGTTGCGACAGCCAATCTGAAGCTTGCATTTTGATATCAACGCTTCATATTGACTATCGATTTACAAGACCCGGCTTTACAGCAACAAGGATCACGTAGTTAAAGTTGAAGCTTGTTAATTTTGATCACGTGATTCTTTTTTATCGCTGAATGGAGGGTTGAGTGGTTTATAAAAACACCTTTATTTATTATATTAACTCTAGACCAGCGCGATGTTCGTTGCGTGCGACATGCAATATCCAATGAGCGAATAGCTTTACCGATGTTTTCATTCTAAAATTATATGCTCATTGGCTATCACGTGACTCGCACGCGACGAAAATCGCGCTATCTGCGGCCGGCATAACCAATCAGTAATCGGTAAAACACGAAAAATGGCAGCGAATCGTTTCTGATTGATTGTGTGATTACGTGATATGCGCCTCATGGGACTTCATGGGATTTCGATCGGAATTATTTCGTTTTTCTATAATTTCTTTAGAAAATACAAGAGAAATGTAGGGAATAATTAATTTATTTTGATTGAAACCCATTCGAAACAATTTTATAATACGCCCAGGAATATTGAAATACTAGAGAGACTGATGATAGCGCCTGACGGAACTGCCGGAAAGTTGTAGCGTCTTTAATCTATGCCTAGCAAGAATGGATTGAAATAAATTGAAATGGATTCAGATTTTCAGAAATATTGATTCACGGATGTTAAAATGAATGCTTTTTTTATTCATTTATAGGAATTGTATGAAGTATATCTCTATGCCTTTCAATCTAAAAATAATATTGGCTTTTTCTGTGCATTGTGAACTACTCAAAATTTTGAAAAGGAAATTCAGTTTTTCAATCGAATTGCATCCAATTGAATCCAATTAAATCTAAAAAAAGTATTTACTATTTAAAATACGCATTCGGATAGAAAAAAATTTCAATCCATTTTAATTCATTCTCATTTGCTAAGTATTTCGATCAATTACATAATTTTTATGTAATTAATTATAATTATATGGATGAGCCCAGTTTCACAACTGATGGTTAATTCTTAATCGAGGTTCAAACTCATTCATTATCATTCCAATTCTAGAATTGGGATAATTGAAAAGAGATAATGAATAAGTTCAACCTCGGTTAAGAGTTCATCAGAAACTGTGTATTCCACAATACATTTCTGGTAGGTTGAAATTCTTATTCTCTGTTCCCTGTGCGAAGCTCCTTAACCGTCAATGAAACTGCCTCACAAATCTTTTTAATGATACCTCATAATTCTTCATACGAAATATAAACGATTCCGTGTAAGAATGTTTAATTCACCTCCGATTGATTTTTTTCGGCTAAAAACATGATGTAAAAATGATTAATTAATTACAATTAATTGAATGACTCACAAATCTTTTCAATTGCATCTTTAAAACTCTTTATTTGAAATACAAATGTTTTTTGGAATAGTAGTTCTTCTAACCGGTGTACTTGTTCGGTCAAGTACATATGAATAGCCGCGTATGTTGTGTATCTACGATGTGTTCTAGGCATGTTCTCATTTTTGCGTTTAAAATGTAAATGTGGAAACGACGGAGGGCAATAAAAGATTAAAAATAGTGAATTAATATAAATTTCTACTAAAATTTCTACTTCTAAATTTAAAAAAACTAAATTTTTTTTAAATTCTCTAAAGCTAAAATTTTTTAAATGCTCAGCAGCCAATGAAATAAATATTCGTAGAATATCTAAAGATAAATTTAAGAAAGTTTTAAATATAAGGCCTAATTATGAATACGGATATAAGTGTCTAGAAAATAT